AGTATTGCTGCTGACCATGTCCATCCCTTTATGAGCACAGTGTCTCCATCTTCTGATGGCTACTTCCAGCAGGATAACGCAGCATGTCATGAAGCTCAATCATCTCAGACTGGTTTCTTGAACATGACGATGAGTTCACTGTACTCAAATGGCCTCCACAGTCACCAGAGCTCAATCCAATAGAGCAGCTTTGGGATGTGGTGGAACGGGAGATTGGCATCATGGATGTGCAGCCGACAAATCTGCAGCAACTGTGTGATGCTATCATGACAACATGGAGCAAAATCTCTGAGGAATATTTCCAGCAGCTTGATGAATCTCTGACACAAAGGATTAAGCAGATCTGAAGGCAAAAAGGGTCCGACCCGGCACTAGTGAGGTGTACCTAATAAAGTGGCCAGTGAGGGTGTATTTGTATTCTGTTGTTTTGGTTTAAGTGTTGCTATAATAACCTTGACTGAACAATATCAAAAGCACGTCAACAATTAATAAACAGCCTAATATTTGTTTATAAGACAGTGCTAACTTACACTACAGTCAACACATGAGCACCTCAGGGTGATGTTTAACTAAAAATATCTGTTTTCTCTCATGTAATAAATCCTCACTGTTTCAGAGGCTCAATAAAACACTTCAGTCATATTCTCAATATTATCGCTGTTATTCCTCCATGTGTGCGCTGTGTTCAGTGTTGAACAGTGTAAACAGAGCTGAAATACCTGATCAGACCGTCATTCAGAGCTCAAACATCGCCATGGTCTCCTGCTCTTCGCTTTACAGAACATAAATGACTCTTTATGAAGGAAAATACTCCAAATCTGAGACACAAATATGACTGAAACGGGCGCTTCAGCACTGATGACAGCGCTCCAGCTCTACTGCGCATGCGCACAAGAACGCGCCGTGACGCGCACGTAAGGCGAGCTAAAAGGTGTTTTTTTTTTTTTTTTAAATAAAATTTTCATTTAAGCATTTAATTGCTACTGCTATTTGAGCTTATAAAGAAAACTATTTATAAATAATTATTAAATAATTTAAAAATAACTAAATGGTTCACATGAAGGCATCTCAAAGTCGAATGAATGAAATCAATTGTAAATACTTTAACAAAAAAAACTAAATAAACACTGAAATTAATGAATGTAAATATTGTATAAAAAAAGTTACCTGTGCAGATCCCATCTCAGTTTCTTCCAACGAGCACTTAATCAAAATAACACTGGAATTTACATTGTTTTAATACTTTTGGTTTGTTTTTAAGTTGTAAACCAATGTTTTTGGGTACTTTTTTAACATTAGAGTACATATTTTACAGTAGATATGCATATTTCTACTTCAGAACATCACTTTAATTCAGTGATATTTACTACAAATAAACCTACATAATGAATTTGCTCCTTCAAAACAAAATAAACCTACAAAAATAAAATAAACACATTGATGATGAATACACTTTTGCAATTTCTCAAGAGCATTAAAGTAAAAAGAGAATAAGAATGTAATGTGTTCAAATATTTTATTCTGATGCTTTATTTATTTATTTTCAGAAAAGCTTAAATTGTAGAGAATGAATCCCTTCATGGCTGCATGTTGGATCAAAATTACACTTCTTACCTGAAACTAGAACCATTCCCCTTAAATAATGAACAATATTATAGCAAGAGTTTTGAAATGGAGTTAATTTGATGCTTAATTATACATTTTGGACCAAATTGTGAGACTGAGGCCTGTAATTGTGTGATGGGTTGGCATAGGCCGGTATAAGATCCTGACCGTATAACCTTGGATAAAAATACTACAGTTCCACGATATTGCGATTACTGCTCTAAAATATATTTATTTTTAAATGTCTGGGTAAAAAACAAGCTTTTCCCTCTTTGAACTTCATATATTACTTTATTTTGAGAAACATTTAAAATATCTTGGAGCAGTAAACATGGCAGCAGTAACAGGATGTCAACATGACGACAGATTGACGTTGTGCCCAAATGTGGTGGGGACGCTGCATATTATTTGGAAATGAAAATTGGGTTGACGTCAGAACCCAAAGTCAGGCCAACACCAATGTTTAAGGTCCAACCCAGTGGTCACCAAACTTGTTCCTGGAGAGCCGGTGTCCTGCAGATTTTAGCTCCAACCCTAATCAAACACACCTGAACAAGCTGATCAAGCTCTTACTAGGTATACTAGAAACATCCAGGCAGGTGTGTTGAGCCAAGATGGAGCTAAACCCTGCAGGACACCGACCCTCCAGGATCGAGATTGGTGACCCCTGGTCCAACCTAAAGTGAACCGAATATCAACATCTAATGATGTTACAGCTTGAACGTTGTGTGGACGTTACCACTATGAAGTCAGATGTTGGATTTTGGTTGCCATACCTGACAAATAAAAGTCAGTATTTAACGTTATTTTGATGCAGGTTTTAGACAGGGGTGTCCAAACTCAGTCCTGGAGGGCCGCTGTCCTGCATGGTTTAGCTCCAACTTCCTTCAACACACCCACCTGAAAGTTTCTAGTATACCTAGAAAGAGCTTGATTAGCTGCTTCAGGTGTGTTTAATTGCGTTTGGCACTAAAATATGCAGGACACCGGCCCTCCAGGACTGAGTTTGGGCACCCTTGGTTTAAGATGTTGACTCGACGTTGGATTAGAACCTAAAATCAACATCATTTGGTGATGTTATTGGACTTCAAACGAACGCTGTCCTTAGTAGTGATGGGTCGTTCATGAACGATTCGTTCATTATGAACGAATCTTCAATATGACTCGGGAACTACGAGTCCTCTCAGGGAGTGATTCGTTCATCTGTATCGTTAATTTCAAGTCTTCATCACATTGGCAGAAGCCAATCATACGCGTTTAGAGCCGGAAAAAGTTTTGATCCGCTCACCTCTCGAGTCCTCTATCACAGTGGGACTCAAACTTTTTTCCATCAAGTACCACCTCAGAAAAAAATTCTCTCTCCAAGTACCACCAAAATGAGCAGTATTGAAATTCAGTAGTGTAGTAGGCCCAGTAAAGCAGCTACAACTCTGCAGTTAAAAAAAGTGGCAGATGACCTCAGAAATATAGGCTATATGTCATATATGGCATATTATATACATCATTTTTGATAAATGTTGAAATGTGTTAAGCATGTACATGACATATTTCATTCCTCCACGTACCACTAGAAGGAACCCCGCTTACCCCTAGTGGTACACGTACCACAGTTTGAGAACCACTGCTCTATCGGGTCTAAGTCACTCGTTCCTCACGGGCCAATCATACACGTTTAGAGCCGGAAAAAGAATTGAACCGTTCATCTCTCGAGTTCTCGGGTTTGAGTCATTCTGTCATGTGATGAACGAATGATCATGGCTCCTATCAGCTTAGGCCGTACTCACACTAGGTACAGTTGCCTCGAACGCTTGTCCCCCCTCCCGTCTCCCCCGACGGCCCACACTCACACCACAAACGGGCTTCGGCACGATTACGTCATCGCTGCTGCGCTGTTCAGTGAGAAGCACTCAGCAGCACAGTGGAGATTTCTCTAGTTATATCGTGTCAGTGGTTTGTTATGCAGTGACATGCAGTCAAATATTTCGCCAAACAGTCCTTGGATGCGGGGACATGCAGTCAGATATTTCACCGGACAGATCCGCCACTTTTGGCGCTCATAAACAATCATAAAGCTCTCGTGCTGCAGGAATGAGGAGGTCTGCTGAAGGTGCAGCTGGCGTGCAGTGAGGGGTTTGTGTCTTTAATAAACTACGGCAGTTTGCGTTCACTGAACAGTAAGAATGATTAATAAATACATATGAAACAGTCCCTTAAAGTCACGTCTCGCTTTCAGTTTCGGGCTTTGGCGCGTTTTGCACTCACACACAAGCGTACCCCGGCAAAGCCCAAGTGAACCGCGCTCAGGTACACCTTTTCCAACCGGGCCAGGGCCGGCCAAGTGAACCGTGCTTGAGCCGGATTCAGTGCACTCACACTTCTCAAACAATCCGGGAAACGGGCCTGGGCACGGTACGGATGGCATAGTGTGAGTAGGACCTTAGACTGTGCATTAATTAAGATTATATGTGACTGTCAGTGTAACGTGAATGAATCTCTGACATTTGAAGACATGAAGAGCTGAGCAGAGCAGAGAGACAACAATAGCCAACAGTAGCCTACCTTCACAGACAAAAGAGCAGGTCAACACTGAATTATTATTTCCTCCTTCTTATATTCTATTGATGACTTATTTGTCGTGTGATCAACCTTTCGGGCTAGTTGTAGATGTGCTTGGAAGCAATTCGTAACATTTTAATAATAGTTGGCAAATTGAACCAAATGACTCGAAAAAAGATTCGTTCATCTCAATGAACGAGACTCAAAGATCCGAGTCAGTAAAATGATCCGAACTTCCCATCACTAATCCTTATATGCTGGCTAGACAGTGAATTTTAGTCACGTGACGTCACGGCCTAAATCTAACCTAATATTAACGTCTGATGATGTCAGGCCAAATAATTCAAAGAAATCATTGAATCGGTCATTCTGCCGTCTTCATTTGCTTCAACACTGATTTCTTTACCATCTAAAATGGCATCTTTGGATATATTTTCTGCTGGAGATACTGTTGTATCAAAACTAAACAAAAAATAACGTAAATAAAAAAATCGTACACACACCTTGGGAATAGTATAGCAGAAAATTTGTGCGGTTTTAAAACCCTGAACCCTGTTATCATCCATGTCTAGTGGACATAATAACACTTTATTCTGATGGTGCAGATGAGGATTAGTCTGCTTAATATCTGCTGATCTGCTCCTCCAACAGACACTTCACTGACTATAAGACACTTTGCAAGTACATGTCAACTTACACTAACCCCAACCTAACAGTCTACAGCTAATCTAATGAGAGTGAGAGGGCCTGAAGATGAAGTGTAACCTACATTCAACAAGCGGACCATCAAAATAAAGCATGACCGTGTCATGCACCATGATGAACGGAGACTCCAGATT